TGGTGTGTTATCAACAGTTTGCTAGCACCATGAGGGCTGCTGTGGGGAGAATTAACTCCATCTCAGCCAGACCCAATACAACTTAGAAACAAAATAACACCATTTTCCCTATAGTTTATAAAGCAGCATCTCATAAATAAAGATGTGAAGAGGAACAGAGCTATGAGCAAAAAAAAAAAAAGGGAAAATATTTAATCTCTGAGGACTTTCAGAGTAATAGCTAATCCTGGTATTCTCACAGCTGACCTGATTTAACAGGAGGCTGGAGTAGATGACCTTCTGAGGTCCTTTCCAACCTGAACTACTAATCTGATTTTTTTTATTATTACCAAATAGAAATGACAGCCTTTGTGCTCTTTTTTTTTGAAGCTGGCACACACTTATCGACTATTGATAATATAACTATACGTCTTGCCTATGAGCCTTAGTTTAAAATACTTAAAGTCTAGTTGCAGGCACTCTCACTGGAATAAGCAATATTATGAGTCGTATTTTCCTTAGGATTTCCTATACTAGTAGTTTTAACATGCAGCAGTCCCTTCTGAATATGATCAGCTAAAGGGTAGAGTATTAAAATGTTGGGTTTTTTCTCAGCACAACATTCTCTGAAGGAAGCAGATGTTGACAATCCAGGCGAGCAGATTCTGCAGCTGACAAAAGCTTGTTTCCTGAACAAGCTTACTAACAAGCGTGCCAGGCTCCGAGGGTTAAGCCATGCTATAAAACACTTCTTGTTTTCTGGAAAGTCTCCAAACTGTGCTCATCTTGTCCCTTCTTGCTCCCACTTGCTAGCTCCTTCACAATATGTGCAGAACGGCAATTGACTCAGACACTCACTGACGTATTTGCTTATTACTATGGCTTTCCCAACCTGCACTGGGCAAATAAGTGTCTCTGGTGGAGGTCACTTCTTGTAAGCTCTCTGCTGATGCTGAAATGTGTTTTCCTCTTTTCCTTCAGAAGCTTTGAGTCATGCCTTGTAACAGAAAGTTATGGGTTGTATTTTCAGACAAACTGAGGCCAAGCCTTCTTGGTCAGAGTGTAATTGGTGCTCACGAAATACATCAAGGATGCAAGCCTGCTTGGTGATACCAGTACTCGAGCAGAGCTGCACTTAATGCAGTTTCTACCTGTCCGCTGAGGGCAAAAAAGGGCAGATTTGGTCCAATGCTACTGCAAAATTAATAGAGAGCTGCAGTAGGCAATGACAGTATATTGTTGTAAATACTATGTACTACTGTCTCGTTTAAAATGTTGATAAGACTTGCAAACACTAATTTTTAGTATTACAGTGATAAATAATATTCCAATGTCTTCAAGATTCATGCAATACTAACCAAAACAGTAAGACCTTACTGTTTGTAAATCTTGTCATCTTTCCCAGCATCATGATGCTTTTTGTTTGCTACCATCCCTCTTCAGATCATACCTCAACTTACATGATAATCTTTTATCTTTTTTATCTTTGTCGTTTTCTTTTATCTATAACTTGCCACATACATTTATGTCATCAATTAACTAGCAATGGAATTAAATCTTCAAGTTACTAAAAATTTCAACAAATTAGACTGGACTTTTCTTTAAGATTTGAAAAGTCAAAGCAAATCTAAAACTAAATTAAAGTTCTACATCTGCATCTCTACAGTACCTCTGCTGGTCTTTGAATGTTTTCTTAGACGGACATAGTGCATTAATTTAAAATAAAAGTACGTTGTGCTATGTGTCTTTTAGATCCTATAAGAGATTTTGAAATTAGAAGTCTGTAGGATTCAGCTAAAAATACAATTAAATGAACAGGTCAAACGATAATAAAGTAAATTAAGAAATCAGCACTTCCAACTAAGCTTCCATACTGATTAAAGGTAAACTCGGAAATGCATGAAACAGCATTATATTCAAAATGTTAGACATACTCTGTGTGTTATTTCAGTATCAGTAAAATAGGCCAAAATAAGAGATCTCAGCACTATAACAAACATGGTAAAGACTTGTTTTGTTCCTTTTCCCTATGACCTGTCATTTCAGCTTCTCTCTAATTGGGACTAGAAGATATCAGAAATTTTGCAAAGCCCAAACAGGAAGAACAGGGTTCTTTCAGCCTAAATCCAGCACGTTCTGCCTTTCACAGCAGCAGAATCATCCAGGTTGGTTCCCAGTCCAATTTCCCACTCTCAGTAGCATGAAGACCATTCAGATCAGATTGGTCAGGGCTTTGTCCAGTCAGGTCTTGGAAACTTCCAAGGATGGTGGCTCCACAGTCTATGGACAAATCTAGCCCAGTGCTCAACTGTCCTTGTGGAGAAGGTAACAGTTCTTGCTGTTCCTCCACCAGTCTTTGCCACTTCAGCTATCTGTTCTTGTGGCAACATAACAAGACCAACAGGAGACACAAAATGTGGTGGTTATGTTTACTGAGAACCACCGAGAGAGAGAGAGCCCTAGCATGGACACCGAAAAGGCAGACAGCATTTGTAGGTATTGTGACTACAAGTGCAAGGTATAAATTAAGGTCTCAAAAGCATCCTGGCTTACAACTTTTCCACATTGGGCACTTCAGCGTAGAGGTAGTCAGAAAGATCAAAAGAACATAATCATCTGTCTGATCACAGAGATGACTCACTGAGTTCTCGCAATACATTTATTTTGAGCTTTTTTTTTTATTATTTATTTCTCACTTTGAAGAAGAGATTCATTGTAGCTGAAAGGAACCTCATGAAATTCAACAAAGACAAGAGCAAAATCATGGCCTTGGACTACCTTGTCTGACCCTACTTTGAGCAGGGGGTTGGACTATGTAACATCCCTAAGTCCCTTCAAACCTGTATTATTCAATAATTCTATGACTTTGTTGGTTGCACAACTAAAAAAATTCTTCAGTTAGCCTCTTCTGAATAAATCTAATGAAAGAGAGAAATCCTGATTTCCTTTGCCAGGTTTCAAAAGAAAACAAGTGTTAGCACCAAACTTTTGGGAGGAGTGGAGCAGATTACACAAGAAAAATTTTGACCCTTTATACTGCAGGTTGTCAAGTTAAAGCCAGAAATTTTAAAACATTCACTCCCAGAGGAAATATGTCAATTTAAAGAAGGAAAAAATACTTACGTACTAGAGATAACTATACTTGTAACATGGCTTCTATTAGAAATTCTTTTAGTTTAGTATACTTACATGTATAGCTAGTGTCTTCACCAAAATGTGTGTACAGTTTTACTCTAAATATTGTTTATACTACCTGAAATATTCTTGCACACTGGGATCATTAACTCCCTGTTCGCCGTATCACCAGTAGCATATTAGATTAAAAGAACTCACACTGCTTAGTTGTTAACGTCCATTTTTCAGCTTTGCATATTTATTAGTTTTCTATATTTAAGTATATATTCTTTAATCTTTTAATCTTTTCAGTGATAATTCTGAATATTAATAATGAAATGTAACTGCAGTATAAGGACAGAAAGCCTGATTGGATCCTTTTACTGTTGCTCTTCCAGAAGTCTTAAATTGTATTGCAGCAATGGAAAGAAGAAAGATTACTGCATTAAATCCTCCAAAGTCCAACCAAGCAGCATGAAGTCCATCCAACTACATGTCTGTGTCGAGGAAAGAACGCCTTCCCACTGTAGCCTCATGATCTGTCCTGCTACCTTCCTTCTTCTGAGCTCAGGAAATTAATGCAGACATACATCCCATCTTCACCTCTCTTTTTCTTGTCCAAAATAAGCACTCAGAAAAGGCATCACGATTTTTACTTGAAACAATAGAATAATATTCATAGAATCATAGAATCATAGAATGGTTTGGGCTGGAAGGGACCTTAAAGATCATCATGTATCAGATGATAACTTGAAGAACTATGGTCTGATGGAAGACTAAAAGAAGCAGAGAGCTGCTTTGCTTGCTTTTGTAATACTTAATAAGAAACATGACAGCAATCTGCAAGTACCTTCAGGGTACAAACAAGAGAGGAGTAATTTACTGAGATGAACATGAGGAACATGTAAAAATAAGAAGTAAAAAGAGAATATTCATACTAAATATATGGGAAAACGTCTAGACAGCAAGCTGTATCAGCCCATAGAACATGTCTGCCTGCTTGTAACGCAATCACTTTTTTAAAAATTGTTTCTTTCTTTCAAGATAAAGAGGAGAAGATTCCTTATCCCCAAAAGACCAGCAAGGGTAGGAGGTGGCCTGAATGATCCAAGTCATCTTCTTCTAAGTCTAACCTCTCACACTATGAGTCATGTTACACCCAAGCCACAGGGTAACATACATTACATGAACAGATACACAAATGTGACATTCCCATCCGGTAATAACAGTTAAATCAATTAGTACTGACAATAAGAAAATACCACTGAATAACATCTTTGAAATCTAGTAGAATATCCTCTTATGTTGCTGGCTTCAATAGGAAAGAAGTGAAATCATCTTTCACTTGCATTCCGGCTTCTTCCTCTGCAACTCTGCAAATACTGGGAAAGTGACAAAGAATTCTTCATCAGCTATATTTGTACCACAGCCATACAGACAGATGGGTAACATCTCAATCCTTGACAAATACAAAACTGAAGTACTTAGCAGGAAAACTGAATTTAACCCCAATTCTTCTGCAAAAATGTAAAAATCTGTTTCGGAAGTTTTTTCTGTAATGTGGACCATAAATAGTAACTCTAAAATGTACAGAAGTAGAAAGTATGTGTCAAAAGCACTGTATTTGACCCTGTTCTACCAAAAATATCCTTATTTCCTGTGCTCAATTTAATCCATCACAATCTACAGCCATTTTAGCTGTATAATCCAATACTTATCCTACAAATTTGTGTGAGTTTATGTATTGAGAACATTAGAAAGAAAGGATTTAACAGCCTCTCAACCAACATTTACATGGATTATGATTCTTCAGTCCCCCAGTAGTGCAAATGTTACATTTTTCTCTTATTTCCTCAGTCTAAAAGTTCAGTTACAAAATTTCTAACATTAGGAATACACCGTATTTTTTAAAAAGACAAAGTGTCCTCTTTAACAGCCAGGATCTGCTCAATCTCAGCTTCCCTGTAACCAGCATCTCTGCCTCCTGCTACTTCACAGTGAGTACCTAAGCAAAGAAACATTTCAAGTGTCTGATGGGGCAACCTGCTAACTAAATTAAATGTGATAAAGGAATGGGATCTTAGACCAGCTGTGTATATAAGCATAACTAAATCATACTAGGAAGCAGGAGTTTTGAGCAGGACAATCGCCGTGGCTTCCTCACCTGATAACCAGGCCTTGGAAGACTTACCACTAACACACTCCCTCCCAGGAGTTTCTTAGGAGAAAGAAAGGAGTTTATACTCTGGCCAGTGTTCGATATGATTGCACAGAAGCAGTATTCAGCATCAGCATTCAGGGTGGAGAGTTCAAACCTGCGTTTTTGTACATATGTATTTTTATCTCTGAAAACACAGGCAGGGAATTCTACAGCATGGGAAGACAGGAGAGGACCGCAATCTTTAGGATTTACTGGGGCCCATGGTTATGAAAGAGTACGACAAGGCTTTCACACTGAAACTGTATTTGAAGCAGTAACTTTCCTGATACATAGTGAAAAAAATGCAGAGATTTGGTCAACGATCTTGATACAGACCAGGCAATAAATTTCCTAACTCTTAGGACAGCCCACCACTGTGCCTTTCAAAAGATAAAATTTGAGAGGTAAATCTTTAATCTGTGACCTGAATTGCTGGACAAGAATACTTGAAACAACCTAAGAGAATCTGCTACAAAAAGGTATGAATGTTCAATAGCTCCAGATTACCACATGAGTATGCTACAGCAGTCATAAATATTGTGGTCCACTGAAGCATACTTCTCAAACTATTTACAACAATTTGAATAATTTGTATCCTAACTAAATTATCAAGACTAAACCCACACGTGTAAATTTCTACTTACCAAGAGTTTGTATAGAAGCTGGACATTTCATCCACGAAATACCTCCATCTATACACACTGGGTACATAAATGACTAAATCTTTACCGCATGGAGTTGAACTGAAAATATTCTGCACTTTTCTCAAATTTTCCACTACAAGCTAAACTTCATGCATCTGAACAGCAGAAGAAGAAAATACTGACTCGACATTTAGCAGAACTTCACACAGGGTCTTTTTAATTCTTTCCATTTTAGCAGTAAAACATTTCCCCAGTCGATCTGATCACTGGAACAACTCATCCACCTCAGCAGGCAGCAAGCACTGGTACATGTAGCTGCCTTGATATAGATGCAGCTGACTCGCGTTCAAACATACCATGAGACACATACCATGGCAGCCCAAATCAGCCTCGATTTTCACCTTTTCTTCTTCCTTCCTATGGAGATGTTAATTTTTGTAGGTTCCACCCGTCAATGTCTTTGAGACGTTTATTTAGGTTGCAGGTTAACTCTGCTGTACAATGCACCCAGTACCGCTGCAAATATGGACTGTATGTGCACGCACGTGTGTATGAGTACAGGGAGAGGGACAGGGAGGAAGAGTGCATAACAGACTCAGTTAACCTGGATAACAGAGAATCAACTTGCTATTCTCTTCCAGATTGTGTCAGGATCCTAGAGACAAAAATGAAGCTTGCACAGATTGAATCCGTAAGCTAAAACTTTATGTATAATTTTCATGCATACTTGTGGGCCGTACGTTCAAGCCAAGAGAGACATATTCAACAATACCCAAACACAAAGCAAACTTATTGATGAATTCTAAGATTATTTCAGCTTTAGTTTATTCATCAGGTTATGGCTTTTCTCAGGACTCTGCAACCCTTTATTCCTTTTTATTTGTCTGATCTCACGGTTGACCCAGCTTGTAGCAGGAGGTTGGACTAGAGATCTCTTGAAGTCCCTTCAAGCCTGATTCTTTCTTTAATCCTATAATTCCAAAAGGAATGTCATTTTTATCATCTGTTGATCACCCACTTCCTACAAATTCTGAAAACTCTGTAAGCGTTCAGTCTGCACAAGTAAAAGGTTAATCATTTCAATTTAAAAAGTAACAAAAACTTCTCTCTCAGTGACATGTCTCCAGTTCGGGGTCTACAAAACTGAACGCAAATTTGAAACTCCATTTCCTTTGTCAAATCAGTATCACTACTTAAGTCTTAGAACACCACGATAAAGAAATTTGATTATTTCTTTTATCTACCTGTGGTAATTGCCATAAGCTGGTCTCAGGCTGAAAAGCTTGGTATTTGTCACTATTCTGCTTGTATCGCATCTATAATAGTTTGACCCTGATCTACAATAATCACAACAATAAATACATTCCAGTTAATAGTTTCAGCTAACAATGCGATATGCAACTAACCAGATTTAATTTAAATACCCATCACACCAGCACTGGGTGTGCTGCATGCAGAGAGGTTTAGAATCACAGTCTTTCCTGCCATGCACAGAGCAATTAGTTATTCCACCATCACTATCATCTTCATGCTGAAGCATAAACCGCAACCTGTTATGGTTCCTCCATGAGGCACCTCTTTGAAAAAGCCTCACCAGGAAAAACACAGTTTCACAGTCCGCTGGGAGACTGATCACTCCCACGCCGAGCCTTTCCATGGGGTCTGGCTGCACACACTAGGACTGCCGTAGTACTGCTGCCTTTCAGCTTGGCTGGCAGAGCAGAGACTGGATTTCCCCTTCAGCTGGGATGAAATAGCTCTTTTTTTTCAAGTTAGAAATAGGATTTCAGCTAAGGAAAGCTCATAAAGATTTTTGTGGCATGGACTACACTTACCTCCTGGGCAATGCCTCATGGCCATTTTACACCGTCTGGATTCTGCAATAGTTGGACATGGTATCGTGTCTTTTGCTGGCTTCTTCACGATTTGTCTTGTTCTTGTTTCCAGGCCCCACTTAAATCCACATGTTTTGTTATTTCTGCTGCAAGTTCCCCACTCACTCCACTGACCCACTTCACAGCCCTCTGATAAAGCAAAGGAAAACACAAGTGAGCAATTCTTCTGTTTGTTTGTTTTAATTTGTTTTCATTTTTGTAAAATTAGAATACACTATTAGAAAGCACCACTTGAAAGTTTTACTGTTAACAGACAAAAACTTCGAAACAAAATTAAAATCTCCTACAGAACCTGAAAGAATCTTTTTAGCCAGTATCAACCTGAGTATAAAACCATCAGACTATCAATCTGTATGTATAGACATCATGCCAGTTCTAAATATTCAAAACTCCTCCTAAATTTGTGAGATTGATTTAGATTTTTTTCTTTTTAATAAATAAATCCTATTTGGTTGTCACCTGGATTTGCAAATTTCAAGAGTTTACATTTCCAGGTCCTCTCCATCATGAAATGCAAGGAATACTTTTGAAAGAAGAGTCTGTTCTGACACAATTCCCAGGCTTTAAGATAAAACGCCAAATTGTGAGACTCAAGAAATATTGTGAGAACTGCCAGTGCTGGCTCAGAGTTCTGAAGTAAATTTCTACTAAAACCACTTATTTAGTTATTTATATTTGTTACTTGCTAATGGAAAAGGAGGGAGCTGCAGAGAAACTAAAACTGCATTTTAAGTCCAGATGCTACAGGAATTCCATCTGCCCTGCCCCTGATTTCTGGCCTTGGTAAAAGGCAAAATGAGCGGGTAGTTTTATGAGGGAAGGAGTCTGAGTACGTCATTGACTTGAAGTTCTAATGCAAAAACTTCCTGAAATCTTACAAATTCTGAGTTATAAATCCTCGTACAAGGTGATTTATACTCAAGAGGACAGACCTTTCTGATGCAGAACAGAGCGACATTCCCAACGATGCAGTATGTCAAAGTTTGCAACAAACTATTATTAGGGGTAAAGAGATCTAGACACAATCCCTTAGTGAATATTTCTTGTTAGAAAATACTAAGCATCAGCTTAAACATAACGTCGTAAGTGTTTGAACCCAGTCGCCTGGCAAGAGAGCTGCTTCAGCAGCACTGCTCTGCTAGAAGACTCACCCACACATTCCATAAGCTCTTCCAAGGCTGCAAATCCAGGGGGGCATCCTCGGAAGCAGCGGCCTCTGTGCGAGTAGAAGCCGGTTTTGCATTTGGTACAAAAGTCTCTGCTAAAGCAGGAGTCGCAGTTTTCTATTCTGCATCCTGAATCAAAAGGATCATAAGGAATACTGAGAGTTAGGGCGAGACTATAAAATTGAAGCTCTTATAAAGCAATAAAATAGCAAAACCAGAAGTGCTCTAATGAGGAATACTGTCATTCTGAAATCTATCTGTTCTATAACAGAAATTATAGTTAACTGTAATTAATTACCACATTTTCCCCTGCATCCTTTTAATACTATTTTTAAAATCAAAACTGTAGATAAAACCTCTAATTCAGTGATATTTGAATTAATTACATCTTTTTGGAGGAAAAATGTTCCATGTAAATTATTCTTGAGTTTAAGTAATTTTGAGGAAAATAAGATGTGACACATTATTTTGGGAAGTGTGCATGTATTATATGTACCGCATTCAGTTTATTATTTGTCATTGCAAGCAGGATACAATTTCTTTTCCATAAGTTGACCCTATGAATAGCTCAATGAATGCTTTTATGTGTTATGTCTGATTTCCATATCTACACATATGCACCTGCAATTTTTCTGGATATAACTCCTCTTCATTATTAATGAAGTCAAACCATAAAAAATAGCCATTATTAAATGACTAAAAGACATAAAGTCATAAAGTTATAATCAATAGCAAAAAAAATTACTATTCCCTTTTGAAATATTGGATTTGTCTGAAAGTTTAAGAGAGATACAGATTACAGACTCAGAAGCAGACTGCTCAGAAACATCCTATTCCATACTAAAACATGGAAACTTGGAAATGAACTATGTATCAACAATCATATGCACACCCGAAAAGCAAAAATACTTACATGCAGGCTTATGAAAGTCAGTCATACAGTTGCCTTTTGATGTCATATAAACACGCTTAGCAGGCGAAAGCCTGCCTCTCCTTACGCTGAGGGTCTCCTCCATAAAACTATTGCTGTTTAACAGTACATATGTGAATACCCCATATTTAAACATTAAATGAACTAATCAATCTTCTTTCAGTTTCTTGATCTTACTTCAAACTTCTCATCCTATTTATATCTTTTGCTTTGCCTTCTATGCCAGTTTTCTTTTGTATCACGGTAGAGTCCTTGTCATGACAATTATATTTTGGAAGCATTAGTAGGGGCTCCTGGGCTAAGGTTGGGTGGAGTTTTCAACAAGGCAGTTTAGTTTCAATTTTTTTTCCTATGAAGATAAATTAGTCCAAACATGAAATACCTATTATTTAATCTCTATTAGATGCAATTTCGGGGAAAATACTGAAAAAGTATTAGGAATACTTTAAGAATTCTGAAGTTAAAACATTAATTCAGCAAAGTGATAGTCAGCACAATGCTTGGGGTTAATGGGTGCTAACTGTAATGATAATTTAACTCAGTAACAGACCACACCGTAGCTGAAGATCAGCTGGGATTGACAACTACTCCTTTTTGACATCCTCCATACACTCTGTTTCAAATCACGAATGGTGCTGGTGCAGCTTTCTGTCTTGCAGGGGTTTTTTTATAAAATTTAAATAAACTAAACTAAAGAACTAAAGAAGAGCAGCACTCCAAAAGTTAGAAAAGCTAACTTTCTGGAAGTCTATTTCCAATTACAAACTATCATAGGAGTGGTTAGAAAAGAAAGACATTTTTAAAGAGTTTATTATCTTTAGTGCCTAGCTTAATTTTATTATATTGTTTAAATGCTTATGGGGCAAATTTTCTTTTTTTTTTTTTGTTATAAAAGTGCTATTAATAAATTATTTTAACTGTGACTGAGGTTAGTAAGTTAGAATAAATGAATTCTTTAAATTCTTTTGCTTTTACAGCTAAATATACCAACACGGATAGAGAGAGAAAGAAAGCATACACGTTTGTAGTTGGACTCTTAAAGAACATTGATACTCCATTATGAATATTAAGGTACGTTGGCTTGGAACTAAATATAATTGTGTCAAATTTTGTATTTTTTATGGGTAATCAGCATCATTAACTGTGTATATTTTGTTAAATATAAGTCTTAATGGAAGTCTATTGCAGAATTTGAAAATTTTTTTTGCATTCTGTTATTTAAATAATAAATTGGTGTCCTGGTTTTGGCAGGGATAGAGTTAATTTTCTTCCCAGCAGCTGGTATAGTGCTGTGTTTTAGATTTACGATGAGAATAATGTTGATAACACACTGGTGTTTTTAGTTGTTGCCAAGCAGTCAAGGACTTCTCAGCTTCTCATACTGCCCTGCCAAGGAGAAGGTGGGTGGTGCCCAAGAAGCTGGGAGGGGACACAGCCAGGACAGCTGACCCAAACTGGCCAAAGGGATATTCCATACCATATAATGTCCTGTTCTGTATATAACGAGGGGGGTGAGCCGGGAGGCAGGACAGCTCGGGGCCTTGTGGAGCATCAACTTCGAGTGGTGAGAAATTGGGCTGTTCATACACAGTTTGTATATTACTACTATTATTATTATTATCATCGTGATCGTCTTCCTTTTTTGCCCTGTTAAATTGTCTTTATCTCAACGCACAAGATTTTTTTCCTGTTCCCCATCCCAGTGCGATGGGGGAGTGAGTGAAGAGCTGCGTGGTTGTTTTAGCTGCCTGCTGGGTTAAACCATGACAATTGGATAATAAATGAACAATCTAGTATGAAACCTACAGAAGAGCTGTTTGACATAACATACAATAATTAAGAAAACCAGCATTTAAAAAAATTGTTTTAGCCTTTACACAAAATAATATAATAAAAAACAAGGAAATGTTTTTTAAAGTTAATGACCTGAACTGCTTTCCTCTGATTGCCACCCTTTGAACTTTCTGATCTCAGCATCTTATGCCTAACTCTGGAGAAGGGAAGCAAAATCTTTCATACTTTTCAAAACCTCTTTCTAAATCCCTTTAGATTACCTTTAAAATAACTAGTTAGTTTACTGATATGATTATAATAAACTGGAAAAAAAGAGTTGGTTTTTTTTTTGATCTGGAGAAGGTTCTTGTCAAAAGCAATTTTATTACTTCAATTTACTATCTATAGAGCCAATTGCTTTTCTCACCAGTTCAGTGCTTTCATTTTCTGAATAATTTCAGTAGCTAAACCATGCTGCATTCTTTTTATTCCACTTAACAGATTACCTAGAAGTTTACAACATTAAAAAACCCCAAAGGAAACAAGATCAAAACACTTGAGCATAGCAAAGATTTTAGACCCAAGGAGCATTTTACAGGAAAGAAATAGATATTGCATAACCCACAGTATTCTTCAGAAATGCTTTGATTTCTATTCTCTAAAAATAAGCAGAAAATGGTGCCCACTAGATGTTTCCAGATAGACAAGTGTAACTGCCTCAGAGATTTTAGAAGCAGTAAGGAGAGGTGGGCTAGAAGTGGAAGCTTTGGAGGCATGGAGAAAGATAAGATTGATGTTGAAGGGAGAAAGAGTTGATAAATTCACTTGTGTAGAATCACCCCAAAGAGCAATCACATACCTTTGGCAGGCCTACCATACTTGCAGGGCAACAATGACAAGGTTGGAAGCTTAATCTTCAGAACCTGAGAGTGAAGAAGTAAAGGGTGCTTCATTGCTGCTGTTCCCATTTAGCTAATAACAAGAGGTCTGTAGGTTAGGGGAAGACACTTGTGACTCCCTACGTCTTCCTTCCCTTGTATTCAGTTTGCAGTGTCTCATCAGGGGTCTGCTTCCTACAAGACCTCAAATGCCTTCTATTCCTGCTCAGCATCACGTCCCCTCACATCTCACTGGCTCTGCTACCCTCTACATAGCCAAGACCTCTCAGACTCATCATAACACTCTTACCACAGCTCTTCTAGAACAACCTCATATTTTCTTCCCAGTGTTTCTATCTTGGGAAAGTCAGAAAGTCAAATATTTGCGCCCATCCTTCCACACAAAAGGTATAAAACACCCTTGAAAGCCATCCCCATATGAAGACTGAACATCTTAACCTGGCACCATCCTCACATAACTGACTACAAAAAGCACCCAGGGAGACCCAGAGAAATCTGCTGGTATGTCTGATTAGTACAGCCTATTTCTAAACAGATGACATTTTTTAAAGTGTTATGTCGTACTTCCCACAAGACTTGTATGTGAATGCTAAAAGAACAACATTCTGACCTCACTGAAATCCATGGCAAAGGTCCTAACTGCTTCAGCAAGGGCAGTTTGAAACTGATAACTTTCTTATCCCATCAGATAGACCAGAGCTCACTGCAATTACTTTAATGGACAAAAGTAATATTAAAAACCCTGAAGAAATATAATCTTTCTTGATAAATACATATTTATAAAGGGAAAAGTGAGAACTGAAGAAGAGCAGCACTCCAAAAGTTAGAAAAGCTAACTTTCTAGAAGTCTATTTTCAATCTCACACTGTCACAGGAGTGGTTATAAATTCACAGCTCCACGACTTAACCTCTCAGGGGACAGGGTGGAAGAGAAGTTACTATTTTGTCTGGTGAAGGTAAGTTGGGCTGAAATTAGACAGAAGCACCCTGCTCAAGTATCTTCAGTGTTCAGACAAAACAAAGCAAAACAACAACCTATCCCTTCGTCAGAGCTCTGAAATGTTGATTTATGGGACAAGATATATACTTTCTCCAATGGAAAGTCTATTCATGCTGGGCAGTCTCTTAATTTAGGCTGACAGGAGAGTAAGAACTTGAATGATTGGCGTTGCAGTGCAGCGCAAGGGTAGATTACAGTAAGTAAAGGTGAAAGCAGTTACAGAATATGCTCAAGAAAGAAACGTAACTCCATGAGCTAACACTGTGGCACTCCTCAGTCAAGGGACAGGAAACCTACAGAAAGGAAAGACCAGATTCTTTGGTTCTGCAGAGGAGAAAAAGAAAAAAAGACATAATATCTCCATCAAAAAAAAACATTGTCAGAAAAGAATCTGAAGACAGAAATTTCAAACATCTTCGATTTTGCATACTGAAACAGAGTGGCAAGGGCTTAGGAGCCAAAATCCCCTTTTCCTTAATTTTCAGTGAGCTCTGACCCCCCAGGACACTTCAGAAAAAAATTTCTT